AGATTTGGAGATTTGGAGATTTGGAGATTTGGAGATTTGGAGATTTGGAGATTTGGAGATTTGGAGATTTGGAGATTTGGAGATTTGGAGATTTGGAGATTTGGAGATTTGGAGATTTGGAGATTTGGAGATTTGGAGATTTGGGGATTTGGGGATTTGGAGATTTGACGATTTGGCGATTTGGAGATTTGGAGATTTGGGTTTTTGAGAGTTTGGAGCTTTTGAAATTTGGTGATTTGAGAATGTTGAACTATGAGAATTTGGGAATTTGAGAATTTGGAGATTTGGGGACTTGGAGATATAAGAATTTTGGCATTTCAGAATTTAGGAATTAGAGTTTCGAAATTTGGGTTTTTGAAAACTCACAAATAGAATTTTAAAATTCATGAATTCAGAAACTTGAAAATCTGGAAATTTATAATAAGAATCTTGAAGTCGATTACAACTAACTCTTCTTGTCTTGCATCTTCTTCCTACCTCATCTGTTCCAATAGAGCATAAGTCTACTACAACCGCAAACTATGCAAGTCGCTCGAAGCATGAATAATTTAGACAAGTATTCTACTATACACTCGGGTCACACGGCGACGAGGTCAGTGTAGCATAATGTCCTTGTACCATATTGCGCTTATGTTCTTGTCTAGAGTCAATTGAAAGGAAAGCAGCGTCGGCTGAAACGAAACCAGGTCCGAGCGCTTATAGTCGAAATTTCGATCGTCGATTATGGTTAAGCGAATTCGACTCGCGATTACGCGGTAAACGTCTCAGAGACACGAAGAGAGAGCGCATTCGCGATTACGGCAAAGGCCGTTGCACTCAAGTGCATCGAGCCTATCGTTGTTCGCGGTTCGATGAACAGGTGCATATTTTTCGTCGAATATCGATATTCTGTGAATTATTTGTGCAAAAGTAAGGTTAGTTTGAGAGGAAAATTGTTTGAGGGAAGAAAGCGAGGTTAGTGTGGGAGAAGGTTAGGTTAGTTTGAGAGAAGGTGAGGTTAGTTTGAGAGAAAAATTGTTTGAGGGAAGAAAGTAAGGTTAGTTTGGGAGAAGAAGGTGAGGTTGGTTTGAAAGAAGAAGGTGAGGTTAGTTTTGAGAGAAGAAGGTTAGGTTAGTTTGAGAGAAGAAGGCAAAGATTTGATAATCTGGTGAGAACAATCAACTAATTTATTTTATTTAGAAATGAACATTTATAACAACAAATATGTTCAATATACAATATTACAACTGAACATACATATATTCAATATATTACAAATGAGCACACATATGGTCAATTACCAATAAACATATACCACATTATTTTTTTATATAATTATTATTTATAGGTAAAATTATTTGAATGAAAATTAAAATTTATTCAAATAAAATTATTTGATGTGTTCATTACATTACAACTAAACATGTTTATCATTTTGCATAAGCAATTTTCCCTTCCAATAACTAATTTAATTTTACATAAATCAAAAAACTCCACTCCCTCAAAATCTCCTCTTTCATAATTAATACAAAACTTCAAAGTTCGAAAACTTCCAAGTACCCTCTCCACCCAAAGTTTAAACGCTCTAGTTTCTCGTTAATAAATAATACCGCCATTTTAAATTTATCGAGTGTGAGAAAGTATGTCATTAGACACAAAAGGTTTTTGCTTCCACCATTTCCTTGATGTTTTTATTCAAGGCGTTCAGACCATAGACTCAGTAAATTTAATTACATACTAATTGATTAATTTATACTGTCAATCATGTCCGCGTTTAATAGCGACCAGTATGTGATAATAAACGAACAAACTAAACCTTGCAATCATGGACTACTTTTCAAACGCCGAGTCTTGAAGATGTAATTAATCACTTTACGAGGAAATAATAAAACATATTTGCGCAATGACACTGATACAATAGATAAATCCTTTCGACCTGCACGTTTTTGACGAGAAATCGTTATCTGTGTCAATAATAAGAATTCCTTACAGCTAGCTTTATTTTGTCGTTGCTCATCGATTTGAGTTAGAATTTCAGCTTTTATCTCTTTTACACGAGTCTCATTAGAGTGAGAGCCTAAATGAGATCAGAGAAGAAGAAGAAGTTTCAGAGAAGAAACTTTCAATATTTGTTTCATTATTTTTTAAATAACGAAAAATTTTATCAAGGTATAATGTAACCTATCACATAATACACTAATCATCAACCATTAATGTCACAAGCGATCAATAACTATACTCGTAAATATTTTCCATTGCAATTTGTTACAATATAAATACGTCAGTAAAGTGATCGAGCTTAAACGACGATTTGCTCGATAAACGAAAACGCGAAGAGGGAATCAAATGGGCGAAACCTACGACAATTTGTATCACGGAAGTTGTTTCGGGGTGGGTCGCTTAGAGAGATCGTAAGTATTACTTACTCCTCGTTAAGCTCAGAAGATGACATCGCTGACGTCCGCCGTTAACAAACTACTTGTCCCGACAATGCGAAAAAACAGAGTGCTCTCTCTGCCCACGTAACACCACGACACACTACACTGTTGCTTTGGGCTATTACTGCATTAACGAGTCGCTACTTCGTACGTTTATACGGCACCGCCACTCGCTGATAAGAGGTCCGATGATAATACGCTTTGATGCCTCTCGACGTGCCAACTAACTATTGCAACCCACTGCAATTTTTTATTCGATTATAAAACACGTACTTATCAGAGATATCTCGGAAGATACTCCGACATCACGCAAACACAATGTTTGATTTCTGGAAATTAACGATGATTGTATTTTTAGGAAAACATTGTTAAATCCTCTTTTATTATTGCTGTTATATTGCTCCTATTGATACGAACTTATTTAATTAATTACAGATTGATGATTTGATTCGTTTCAGACTTTTTAAAGTGAAAAAGTACAAATTAAATCAAAGCGTAATTACATGTAAGAATTTTGATAATGAAGACAATTTTTAATTATTCAAGATGTATTCATATTGTTCAATAATTTCTTACAAATACAACCTTATATAAATTCTAACTTGATTGTTTAAAATAATTATTTACTAAACGACTCGCATTGCCAGTTGTATAGATTACCGCTGGACATATACCCGCTAGATAAGTGGCCGTTAAGTAAATGCTGACTTTATACGATTCGCAACCAATCTTATCAGAATATTTCAGCTCTTAACTGTGAAGGATAAACGCATTAATTGTGCACATTAAATCATTTTTAACAAGTATAATTCTTAAGAACAATCTTTAAAAAAAATTTGTAAGAAAAATAATTTTTCCAAAGAGAAATAAAATTTTCCCAAAGAATCTTGAGGAAATGTAATATTTAAGTTCCTCAAGGAAATGTAATATTTGAATGTTACAAATAAATAAATAAATTGACCGTGTAATCTGAATGTCAATTTCCGATAAATTCCGTAACTAAATTTCGACCGAGGAAAGTATCCCGAGATTCTATAAGAGAAATTTTCTCGATGAGCATTCAGTTGCGTGACATCAATTTGCCCGGTTAATTGCCGTCGCAAATCAAGCTTCTACAGCTCGTAGACAGCGAACGTACAAAATGATAATAAGGATACGGGACTGGATGGTGTTTATAGCATCACCGCGAGAAAAGTGGACGCGCATAAATGTTACGATCGGACTGAAAAGTGGATCAGAACGTTTAAATGCCGGCAGTGGACGACTTAGAAAGTGTTAATCGCGAAATTGAACGACGTTTCCGTTTTAGCATGACGTTCCTGGGGAAACAGGTTTATCGTGTCGTGTGTTTGTGAATGTTTACGACTGATACGGGGATTTAATAAACACATGAGTGAATAGTACCGGCTACCGAAATCGCGATAACGATAACGCAAAAATGCGTAAACATTTTTGCTTCGGGAAAATGAAATGAAACCGGAACGTGTCACGGATTTGTATATAGAATTTTTTACAGGTGCTTTAGTATACTATTTTCAAATTTTGTATCATGTTTCACTTTATTCGTACAGTGTTATATATGTTTGCAAATTTATTTATTTATAACAAGTTTTGTAATGTAGTTCTGCATGTATGCTTTCCTACATTCATATTACAAAATCATAAAAGCTTGTTTGTTAAATGTTGAAAGAAAGTATATCCTCTTCTGACGAAAGCAGCCAATCATGAGTCAATTTCTGAGATGCGTTGAGTAAGCAGTGATATAAGTCAGCGATCGGTGAGTCGCATGGTTTACGATTCTTCCAGTTCCATGTCATAGGACGAAATCTGTAAAGAACAAAACAATCCATACACATAGATTTTTGCAAAGTATTCTTTCATTTTTATTTTGAAATATAAATTAAATTTTGTTTACTTTCAATTTTTAATTCTGACTTTAAATTTTAAATCTTAAAACTTGTTTTCTAGTATTTTATCTTAAAGTAACATTAACTACTGAGAAAAAAATTTGTACATAATGCAGTTGTCTGTTGCAGCAGATAATTGGTAGAATCAAGTTTACAAAGTACTTAGAAAGATTATAAAAGAAAGTTTGTTGATCTAGATTCTTCAGATATCTCCTATGTCTTAGATCTATTCTACACTTCAATTATCTGGTACTTTTATAATTGAAGTGTATACTTCTACGTTTCAGTATAATGCTTAATTCAAGAAGTTTCCAGAAATCGTTTATTAAACCCGCGTGGATTAAACTGGCATATATTGTGATCCCAGAATTCAATGGTAGGAATCATAGAGGGCGTAACAAACCTCTCACGTTTTTACACGATCGGTATTTCAGTGAATAGAACACAAGCTATACCACAAGATAATCTATTCATTCTTTATCTTGTGTATAATTAAAAAATATATCCTAAATCTACATCTTTATATACGTCACCATTTTGTTTTAACTTTTATAATTAGTATAGAGCTCACCACTATCATTTCATTCTGCAATATCGACCAGAATTTTGCGAGCGAATATTTCTTTTAAACTCCAGAGATCGCTACCTACCACTATCATCAAAGTGGAGAATCAAAAGTTTTGAGGTTAGGTTTCCTGTTGTTAGTAGACAGCATTGTTTAGTAACACGTGTTTATTTTTACTTATGACAGAATAATAAAATATTTTCTAAAAATATATCTAGAAACGCAATCTTAAGGTGAGTGAAAAGTCATTTATGATTTAGTGTGATTTTAAACTTTCAGATAGATTGATCAAACTTCAAATTACTTATACATGTGAGGTTATGTTCTGATTTAAACAATGCTTCCAGTGTTTATTGCATAGTTTTATAAAATATTAGCAGTTTACAGAAATATATATATTTATTACAGAATGAAATTTAGTATTTTTAATATTTGCAGATACAAATAAAATGGCGAAATCGTTGCGTAGTAAATGGAGGAGGAAATGTAGAGCAGTCAAAAGGGAACGCTATGGAGCAAAAGAATTAGACAGGTTAAAGAAAACATTAGGTATTAATGAGAATGGGTCACAGGATGTTGAGATGTCAGAGATATCGGAAATTGCTACAGGTAAATTATAACAGTATTTGGCATATGCTTTTATTTCTTGTACCAAGTTTTAACTGGTGTTTGTTTAGTCGTTGATGCAAAAAAGATTAAAGAAAATACAAAGACAAAACAAGATGCTGAGGCAGATGGCACAGATATGATGGAAGTAGACAGCAATGGCAGAGTGTACAACAAAAAGACAATGAGGGACCAGTTTGGAAATTATCCAGTATGGATGAACAGAAGAAAGATCGCTAAACACAAAAAGGGCAGAGCAAAATCACAAAAGGGAAACACAAAATCGCACAAAAGGCTAACCAGGAAACAGAAAAAATCGACGACGCATACATAACCACTTTATAATCTATGCTTTGTTGAATTTGTAAAATGTACTATTATTGTAATAAAATATAAGAACCTTTCTTTAGTAAACCAATAAGAGCCACATACATTTGTTCCTTTTCTTTAATACAAAGCTGAGTATAAATGATCACAAAGGTTAAGTTATAATTTTACTACAAATCTAACACGTAAAAGCTATGAAGATGGCAGTGATAGTATGATGTATTATAAAAGTATTCGTACATAAATATTACATTTATGGGCAATGCCCTATAGAATTTTGATGTTTTTATAACTAAAAATTTAATGCGCCACTGTTTATCGGCATCGTTGCTCTGCAACGTAATCTCAGACGATTTTCCAGTTCCATCACTCGATTCGTCAAATGCTGCATTTTCCTCGTTTCCAATTCGTATTCTCTCAGTTTGTTTCGCATCTCGTATATTTCTCGTTGCATGTGGTGCTGCAAAAATTATTATTTTTAATTACAGTAATATGTTTTATTTAATGTACAACTCACCATATTTTCCACGGCTCTTTTCATCTCGTTTATGCTTTCAACGACGGAGGCAACTTTGACGCTCATTTCTGTGGTGTCTGTCTCCCTCTTTCTTCCTTTTGCAAATTGCTAGAAAACAAGGAAGGGATATTTTTATGTGAGCATTCTGGGATTCTATAATTTTTTATCTTTCACCACTTTCATTTACTATTTTTATTTTATCATTTACTATTTTATATTCTACTACATTAATGTTACTACTACTACTTCATAATTTATTCAAATTTAACAAATATTTTGAGTTAAAATTAACTATATTTGAATTAATAAACTTCTACAAAATTGGTCATTACTTTTTAATTTTAATCAAGTTTAAAGAAAATAGCAAACTTTCCAAGCTAACATATTTCAAGAACCATTTTGAATACAGTATTAAAATCAGGTAGACGAAAGTCGTGTGAACTTTTAGAGTGACCCAGTACAATGCTTGAAGCTGAATGATAGTTTTGGTCAAGATAGAAGAAAATCCTGCAGTGTGCTGTATTCGCATTTCAAGCGACCAACAAACGTATCTCTCCTTTACAAGTCAAATAACATACAGCGAGCCATTGTCCAACATACCTTTTCGAGCTTGGTGAGCCTTTTCAGGATAATCTCGTAGTCCTGATCGAGGTCACCGTCGGCCACCTCGTTCTCAGTATCTACGAACAGAGTTATTTGATATTACCCTTTGTGTCGGTCATTTTTTCGCTTAAATAGAAAGCTTAATTTAATAGAAAGGCGTTTAATTGGAACTTACCTTGCGAGGAAATCGATGGCCGCCTCGTTGTTGTCGATTCGTGAAAATCATCTTCTAAATCTCGAGCCTCAAAAGCGGTATCTTCGGTTTCTGCAAAGAAATATGTACTGGGAGAATGAACAAGATTAAATTTGTAAATTTTGCATTTTAATTCTTTGTGGTTAATCGGGAATTTACAGTTACTCCATTTTCAAGATTTTCTGAATCGCCATTTTTCTATATTTTTACATTATTGATTTTCTATATAAGACATTAAATTCATCCAACTGTAATCTTGAACTTGCACGAAGTCCAAATTCTCATTCACAGAATCTGACACAAACAGCATAGAAGTTCAAGTTCACTGCAAATGACGAAACGAGATATCTGTTTATTCGACAAACACCGCGTGGGTGTTCTCGCTGGAAAATCGAAAAACAGATCGTGACACGAAGCGTGGAAACTGGAAGCCGTTCAAAAAGTTGTTGTTCATCGATGATACTCTGCGTGGGGTTTCACAAGAAGCATTCGGAGGCTGAACCGTACTTTGTACAATTTATCTGTACTCAATATCAAAAAATATAAAAATCGTCAACATATAACCTTCGGTGCATTCAAGCTTGATATAATATTAGCAAACATCAGGAATAATAATTCTGTAAATTCATGTGCAACTTAAGAGACAAAATGGAAGTCGATAGATTGTGTATTTTACTGTTATTAAAATTGCTGAAAATATTTCTTGCCTTCCCAATTATTTTCCATTTCGGTACGAAGTTGCTTATTAAATGATGCTTTTCTGTTTAATAAATTTGTGATACAGAAAATCTGAAAAGTACTTCTATACAAAATTAAGTAAATCATGCAACGAAGAAAGCTATAACTAAAGTAATAAAGTTGAAGCAGCCAATTAAAAATTATTAAAAATGCATGTAAATATCTTTATCACGATTCGACAATAATGAACTTTAATTTCCATATAATTAAGCAGAGTTTGGAGTTCCAAAGACCGTGCACCTGTCGCATATTTTTTACAATGGTAACTTACCATTTTTTCGACAGGACTGGCCGTCTTTCTGCAATTGAAAACCGGGTCTGCAGTGGCACTCGTAGGTTCCCGGTAGGTTTCTGCAGAGCTGATCGCAGGGCTTCTCTGTCACGCACTCGTCGACGTCTGTAACGTTGGTGGACAAGTTATGCTAATTCGTGAAAAATTAATTGCATCAGCTCGCCAGCTGCGACAGATCCATCGCGAAATATCCTTCGAGTTCCGGACATTGAGAATACGTGCATATACATCATAAAGCAATGATTTCCGCTGGTCCAATGAATTCGTTCGAATGGCCACGATTTTAATGAATAAATTACTGGGGAATTTAAATTAGTTATTAAGCGTTGAGGTGTTCGATTGAGGATAAGCAGGAAGGAGTGGGAGAGTAAGTACCATTTCGAGTAACTTGTTCGTGATTAACGGGTGAACCAGAGGAAAATGAAATATTTCTCTTGATTAACTCTTTGATTAGTTAAATGTTTATTTGGGTGCTAGGCTCGTTATTGACAAATCAGGAAGGTTTTTATCACTTAAAATTTTATTATTCTCTTTTGTGCTTAATTTGCAAGTTTGACTTAATTTTCGAATTTTCTAGTTTCGCAAATTCTCAAGTGTTCAAATTCCTGTAGTTCCAAAGGCACATTTATGTAGTTCCAAATTTTCACATTTATAAATTTTGAATTCTTCAATTTTCCTAACTTCCAGATTTCTAAATTCCAAATTTCTAAATTACTAATTTCCATCTCTAAATTCTAATCTAAACCTATTTACAAATATCCAGATACTTAAATTCTCAAATTCTTATATCTTCAAAAGTACCAATGTTCAAAATCTGCACCTCTCCAACGTCCTCAATTACTCTTAAAAACAAAAAAGGGTACAAGTATCCTGAGGTAATTTTCGCATTCAGCGATGCAATTACAGCTCCAATAAGACAGAATACTAATTCAGAAGCGTATCACTGGCACACGAAAGCCTTGAACGATATAAACTGCAAGAATGTGACTCATGAAGGCTTCAAGGATTTCTCTATAAGGAGTGTCGAAACCCCCTCCCTGTATCGAAGGATCTTTTTTTATTGCATCGAATCGGCTGCAGCTTACATCGGCCCGGTAATTAGAACGTCCGCATAGCTTAATGAAATCGCTCGTAAATCTATCGAAAGCAGCCGGTTGCTGGACACCACAATACGTTCGAGCAACTCACGGTATTCGAGTTACGATATCGACTCCCTTATCGATCTGCGTCAATTTAATTACGCTTAACGATCTACGCTACCTGCCCTCGGTCTAATCATCGATAACAACAGATTTTACGATTTAATTTTGCATTCTTATCTGTGTTGAATAGATCTCATAATTTTAGAGATGTTGTGTACAATTTATTATTTTATGAGTTTTATTGAATTAACGCAAGAGCGATGAAAGTAGAAGCTTGTTGTATTGCAGATAAGTACAGTGGACTCATTGTATTGTCGCGGATGAAGCTGTAATGGCGGACATTTTAATTTTACTACTGAATTTGAACATTTAGTAAGAGAACCTTTTATGCAGCATTTGAGAGTTTGCAAATTTGAAAATATAAAAATGATGAATTTCTATATTTTTCTATTTGGAAATACATAAGCTTGAAAATATTCAAATGTCTATAAAAAAATTTAAGCATCAGGAAAATTCGAAATTTGAAAGTTTTCAGATTTGTATGTTTGAATGTTTTTGGATTAAGAATTTGTAGATTCATGTATATGAAAATTTTTAGATATGAGAATTTGCAAAAATTTTTTAATATATCAATTTGCAGATATATGTATTAAAAAACTTATAGATGAAAAGTTACAAGGTTACGTTTTTAATAATTCTTATATATGAGACTTTGCAGATTTTTGTATATAAAAATGTTTTAACATAACAATTTTCACATTTGTGTATTCAAAAATTTTTACACATCGACTTCCTCGAGTTGTGTCTTAAAAAGTTTCTAAATCAAAGAGTTTGAAAAGTCAGAATCAAAAGTCTGAACATCAGAAACTTGTTACAATGTAACTCTAAGCCGACAGTCGTTAAATAAAATTTACTAATAAGAATCATCGTTGAATATTAATACTTATAAAGCACAGTGAAACGAAGAAGGAGTACCTGCAGCAATGTTATACGTGTAACATTGATCAGCGCTTGAAATGATAATTTAGAATTGATTTGCATTCGTGTTAGATATTACCTGTCTGGCACTGGTTGCCTGTAAATCCTTTGGGACACGTGCACCTGCCGGGGGAGGTACATATTCCTCCGTTTAAGCATGTTACTGGGCAGGTAGCTGAAAAGCAATTAAATTAAGCTGCAGATTACATATCACGTATTACTAACTAGTAAATATCATACATGGTTCGTGAAAGAATTCGTTTCTATATGTAATTGAAAATTTATTAAGCCGTATATATCATGTATACGTGTTTCAACTATAATTGAAGTTTCACTCGTGATTAAGGGGGGAATATACAATGTTACTTCGGGAAACGAGTTTCATTAGTCTTAACTTGATGTCTGGGTAGGTGAAAATAATTATAAACAGGAGTTATTTAAATGTTTGAAATACTTATAAATAGGAGTTATTTAAATGTTTGAAATACTTATAAATAGGAGTTATTTAAATGTTTGAAATAATTATAAAATATTGAATAAGGGTGGACTACAAGTTTGTTAGGTTATGTTTTACATATTAAGTGATTGAACTATAATTCAGAAAGTACTGTATACTTTTATTTGAAGAAGCTTCATATGTAATTTTAGACGTCATGTCTAATTATTTTAAACTTACGTTTATTGCATCCAAAACTTAAATGAGTTGCTTGCGTCCATCCTGGGCAGCACAAGAAAACGGAAGGCGAGTCAGTCTTAATATTAAGAATATTAAGATACCTAAAAATTGTAGAAATATATTCGAAGGAAGCTATGAATTGTTCCTCGACATTTAAGATCAAGTTTGAACTAATTTAACAATTTTTCAGTCAAGTGTGCACTTGATACTTATAACAAAAAATAACACATTTCATGAATAAAATTCATTTACCAAAATTAAATTACAATTATATTAATCAATATTTTATGTATAGAAAGAAAAATACAATTCGTTTAGGGTAATATAATGAAATTTACTTTATAGATAAAACACACCCTCCCTCAAGATTGTCAACATTCATATCTTTTTAATATTTTTGGAGATAATTTTATGTAACTTAACTATATTTAACAAATAACATGATAATTACTAATAATTTATAAAAATAATACCTCTTTGAAAATGAAATAAAATAAAGTGAAATTTAAATTTGTGATCTAACTTTGTCGAATATAAAATTTCAAAGAATTCACTTGTGATTACACATAAAAAATTCTATAAATACTAGAAAACCTTTTACAAATATAAACTTGTAAAATTCTATAATAATAAACTCGTGATTAAAGTATCTTTTGTATTTCATTAAAAGAATATTTTTATACCTAATTTGTCCGTTTCGATGATGATGAACAGTAGAGCTGGGAACCGATCTGGTACAGACGCGTCTCCTGCAACGAAGAAAGAGAAAACTTTGTACATCGACGATACAAGAGACACATCTTGAATGGAACAATAAATAATATTGATATTTATCGCCGTGCAGCATCCTCTAGAAAGTATTTCGAGCCACGCAACCGCTCTTGGCTTTACATCCGTTATTGAAATTTATGCCGCTTCTAGCGATTGTCAAGCGGTGACAGGATGAAATTAAATTAATGAATCGATTGTTTTGATAGTGATCAAGACCAATCCGACACGGTACGCGCCTTCATTTGCATCGATGAATCGATATGGATATGGAAATGGTTAAATACAGAGAGAATTGCGAAGATGGTATTTAAGCTTCGGGTTCAATAATGAAATGCGTGAAATACCTTTGCAGGGGGATGAATTATGATTTCTTTTGAAACTTCTAGTGTTTAAGATTCACTTTGGGATTTTTTAGAGGGCTTTGGGATTTTGAGATATTGTGATTTTTAGGATTTTGTGGGATTTTTAGGACTTTAGGATTATTAGGATTTTATGGAATTTTGGGATTTTTAGAATTTTTAGAATTTTGGCATTTTTTAGGATTTTTAGGATGTTGGGATTTTTTTTAGAATTTTTAGAATTTTGGCATTTTTAGGATTCTGAGATTTTGAGGATTTTGGAATTTATAGGATCTTTAGGATTTTGAGATTTTGGGATTTTGGGACTTTCAGGTTTAGTAATTTTTGACTCTTAGTACAATGAGATTTCAAAATTTCATAATTTTGTAATTATAAAAAAGTTTGATTGAAGAATATTAAAAATTCAAAACTTCTTAATTTAGAACTTTGACCCTCTATAACTCAAGAATTTCAAAAATATAACCCACAGTGAACACGACAACAAAGAGTCCCTATAATACCACTCACATTTTGCTTATTGGTTAATTTCTAGCTTCGTCCAATCACAAAAAGGAATACTGAATGATTACTGTCAAGTCCTTTAAGGATTACAGCTTTCATTGCAGCTGATCTCCCTTGACAACTTTTGTTGGCTGTATTATAATTGGATTGATTCGATCGCAATCGAATCGGTTGAGCTGATCGATCAGCGCATTTGAAATTCGTTTTGTAATCGCCTTTGAATAAATTCAGCGTTCTGCATTTTGAACCTCCTGCATTGAATTCTTGCAACTTCAGAATTACTTCTTTACAATTCAAATTTAATAATTTGTTTGAAGTCAAATTATAGAAAAATAATTTTAAACTTTTTTAACAAAATTAATATGACATATTTAATGAAATTTTATTACTTGACCAGATTGCAAAATTCATTAAACAATTTTCTTAATTCTCAAATTTTTACATTTTTCAATCTTGAATTAAATTTTCAAATTCTCAGCTTTGCAAATTTTTAGATTGTTAAATGACTGGATTTAAAAAAGAATCTCTCAGTTACATACAACCCTCTGCAAGTTTATATTCTAGAAGAAAAATGTTTTTATGAAATGAAATACTTAATCTATTTTCTCCTTTGATATTTTTAACTGAATATTAAACAAGTGACAAAGTCGATAAATTACCAAAAATGTAAAACAGCATCAATTTCCATCTTGCTATAATAAAAAATTGTTGCATGTTAATTTCCACCAAACAGCTCTAAAAAAAGAAGGAATACTCATCGCAAATTTACTTGCCAACAAAGTATCGTTACAAGACTAATAAAAACGATCCCCACAATAAAACCATTACATCGCTTTTCCTCTTGCAAAACTTGAAAAGTCCATTATCTGAATTTGCCGTGACCGATTCGATTATAGTCAAAATTTTTTAATGGTACTCCAGAGGTCGTGAATCTTAAAACCAGCATAGTGATTTCTATCGAGCTAACACTTTGCTAACGATTACGATGTCCATTACGGAGATTGCTGTTCTCCCTGAAAGATCGAGAATTTCACGCAGAAATTACGCAAACGAGTTAGCACACGACTGGTACAGGCAAAGGATCGCGCATAATTGGGCGACGAGAGGCAATCTCTTGAAACAACCTCGTCATCGTTGGTTCGCGAGAAAATTGCATCTCGTTGTGTCGCTGTCATGTTCGTTGAAACTCGACACGACGTTTACTGTCGCAACACCAGGACTCGTCCACGTGGTTCGCATCGTGGAACGTCCGATTTTCTTGCTTGGACGCCATCTTGATCGCGAGATGTGCCACGACGATCGTTTAACAGATATCAAGCTTTAAATATGATAAACTGGACTAAGGACTGCATTTTTCTTTTTCATGTTTGTGAAATTTAGAAATTTTCTGTTTCGTAAATATTTAAGTATTGGAATTTTTAGACATTCAAATTTCTAGATAATAAAATATTCAAATTTATAGATTTTTAGAATTGCAAGTTCTCAAGTTTAAGAAGATTTGTATATAAAAATGTTGGAGGTTCCAAGTTTCAAATTCCAGAAATTATCAAGCTTGAGAACTTTAAAATTTCTAAGTTTTTAGATTCAGAAATTTAAAAATTCTCAAATGATCAAATTTAAAAATTTTTAAATCTTCAGAGTTGCAAATTATCTAATATAGGTGTTACTGTATTTGAAAATTAAGAAGTTCTAAATTTAGAAATTTAGAAACCTAAAAATCTAGATCCCTAATCTCAAACTCTGAAACTACCAAATCTTAAAATTTGATAAATGAAAACTTCGTGAAATGTAATTAAGTCGAACAAGAGGTAAGTCTAACGAAAGTGGGTATGTGGTATCTCAGACAAATACCCTAGTTACGCCAATGGTTGATCCACAATCTACGACGAACAGTTGCCCAATTAAAACGCCACCCTCGGCTTGGCTTCGAGCATACACGTCATCGTTCATCCTCAACTTTCGTTCTCCATGGACGTAATTTCTGCACGAAGAATGATGATGCACGCACTTCGGCTCCGTGTGCATTAATCCTTCGAAGAGGAAACGATCTTTTGCTACGATGCTGTAGGAAGATGTATTCATAGAAGCCGTGGTTGCTCGGAGAAAGTGATTCTGATTTATAGAATGAGATACTTCAAGTGATCATATGTGTTTGTGAATAGACTGTCTTGGGTTTAACAAAGTTATTGGCGATTGTGTAACTGAGATTATATTGTAAGAAATAGTAGTGGTATTAAGAGTTGGTCAGTTTATATGTTGGTCATGTTGGGAGTTTGGAAATGTGGAAGTTTTTATGAATTTGTATATTTGTAGATCTGAAGATTTTTACATTAAAAAATTTGGGAATATATGAATATGTGGACATGTGAATATATGAGTATGTGAATGTGTGATTCTGTGAATGTGTGATTCTGTGAATATATGAGTATGTGAATGTGTGAATATGTGAATGTGTGATTCTGTGAATATATGAATACATCAATATAGGAATATACGAATATATGAGCATGTGAATATGTCAATATATGTATATATCAATATGTGAATATGTGAATATATGAATATGTGAATATGTGAATATGTGAATATGTGAATATGTGAATATGTGAATATGTGAATATATGAATATGTGAATATGTCAATATGTGAATTTGTTAATATGTGAATTTGTCAATATGTGAATATGTGAATATGTCAATATGTCAATATGTGAATTTGTCAATATGTGAATATGTCAATATGTGAATATGTCAATGTGTGAATATGCCAATATGTGAATATGTCAATATGTGAATATGTGAATTTTATGAATTTGTAAATTTGTGAATGTGTGAATGTGTGAATCTGTGAATGTGTGAATGTGTGAATATGTGAATGTGTGAATTTATGAATCTGTGAATCTGTGAATCTGTGAATCTGTGAATCTGTGAATTTGTGAATCTGTGAATCTGTGAATCTGTAAATCTGTGAATCTGTGAATCTATAAATCTCTAAATCCATCAGTCTATAAATTTCTAAAACTATGGACTAGAAACCTTATAAACCTATAAATTTATAAACCCCTCAAATACCCACATCTTACAACAGTGTGGGAGTGCCATTGCATGAAAGTCTCTTCAAAGGTAGCACTATAATAACAGTCCTCTATTTACAATCCTGTGCATGCATTTTATGCCTTCAAACTACACTTTTCTCTACTATGCTAACATACCTATGCAACATACATTCACTTTTCTACAACACTTCCCAAACAATAAAATCTTGTACTCCAACCAAAAATGATACCAAAAACGTCTGTTCCTTTCTTCCGGAAATGATCCTCCTTTGTTCCTTTCTCACGGTCTTCAGATGCGGCAGGTGTAGAAAATAAAATGAGGGTCTTTAACGACGTCAAGGATGCTCGCCAAATCTGCCTGTTAAGGACGAGCCACGATTTGCTTATGGATTATCTGTGCCAGAAAGGATCAAAGGGATTAGCTCGGCAGGTGATCCAGGTTAGTGAATCGTGTAGATTCTGTCAGGCAGGTAGTTTGTCTGACATTATCTCATTCCCCTTGAGCATATTTCATGGAATCAAATTGAATTCGATCTTTGCTACTGTCGTAAACATTGTTTCTACCGTCGTCATAATTTCTGTCGTGTAAATGCATAACTAAATGCATAATATTTGAGAGCAATTTTTATTCGTTCATAAATTACATTTTTATTACTGCTTTGTTTAATAGCTTCTTTATGTGTATTTTAGGATACTCTATTAGGTAGTGTAATTTGTTATTTAAGATATTTAATTGTTGTACAATTTCAGATGCTTTTTGTTTACAGTATTTGATAGTTTCTCAATTTTATTATTAGATGTATTATTCTTAGTGTGTAATGTCATTTATTAAAGGTATTAACATAATTTATTAAATGTATTTTATAATTCACAAGTTCAAGAAATCTTGCTAAACAAATTTTTTTATTTAGAATATTTTATAATTGTGAAATTTAAATATTTAACATTTACTGCTTAGGAACTTTGCAATTAAAATAAATAAATAAAATTTCATAGACTGTGTTCTAATTATTAAATCTTCAAGACTATGTTCAATCAATTTTGTCTTAAAAAATATTTTCAA